TTATTTGACTGAACTGATTAAATCAAAGTTAGCAACAGTCTCTCCATAAAATTTAAAAATATTTACAGAATCCCTTGCAATAAACACAATTTGATTAGAGTGGGGTGAATGGGGTCAATTGGGAAGGGTGGAACCCTTGTAACATTTCGTAACCAAGAGCGACTTAAGGCAACTTAAGGGGACTTTAGGAAACTTTAGGCGACTTAAGGCAACTTAAGGTCCCAGAGTAGGCCTTTGGATAGATAAGTAGAATACTTGAAAACAGGTTTGCCCAAAACTTCTTGGTGAGGTATGGAAATTTATAGGCTTACAAGGGTTCCTGTAAAATTGTTTTCACCAAATTTGGGCAGCATTATTGAGAGTTTGAAACCTAAGAGCGTTATGTACCACTGCAGCTAACTCCATCTCCAGTGTAACCATTAACACAAATGCATGAGTACGATCCAAAGGTGTTTTGACACGCGGCATTGCTATGACATCCACGACCTGAGGAACACTCATCTATGTCTGTAACAGGGAAAAAAGGAAACCCATAATGAGTTCCAACATGTGTAGATTTGTTAAGTTAAAACATTACGTTGTCAATCGGTTCGTCTGTAGTGAGTTGAAATAATGAATGGGAAATTTAGCGGAGATTTATCAAGACGTTAGTCGCTGAGTGGATGAGTAATTCAATTAGAAAGTCAGTAACTAAGTATTTTAGAGTTCAATTGTTCCACCAATCTATCATTCACGTATTCATGCATTCAGTCAGTAAATCAATCAATGAAATATTGGGAACTATATCGGACTATTGAAAAACATTGGAAAAGAGAGTGAGGATTGCGGAAAATGCCTCAAAATTCCCTCAATGTGAAGATTCAGTTTTGAGTTGATTCGTGTACCTATGTCCATTTTATTTAATATCTACTGGGGAAAACATTTTGGCGACATTATTTCATTACACTACAGGTCCTATGAATCTGCTTTTCTTTGATAGCAGATTAATTTGAAATAATTTCTTGTCTTTCTACGGGAATGTGGGTGTAAATTACACCGACGTTTATAATGACCTTATGGTGAGCTGAGTTTTAGAATAAGAATTCACTGAAGCTATGAGTTCTTCCATTCATACCTGTGCAATTCCGACCATCACCTCTAAACCCACCGGCACAATGGCAGCTATATGACCCCTGTGTATTTGTGCAAATCCCATTCTTGTCGCAGTCATGGTTATTTCCTGTACATTCATCAATGTCTTACAGTAGAGAAAAGATTGAATGAGGAAACAACAACAGCAAAGACAGACACAAGGACTAGAGGAAATTGACCAGTAAACAAGCTATCAATCACAACTGGCTAGAACTTACAAGTCATTGGTGCGAAGGATGGAGGCAGATAACAACGAAGGAAAATAAGGACAGAGTAAGGTTATTGATTCCGAATTCATATTAAAATGAGCAGGATCAATCCTCAAGGCTAAGAATTCTTCTTTCACCTCCTTTTACTCCCATCAATCATTAAAAGGATGCGGTCTTGCAAAAGAACAAAAATGTAATTACCTTCTGAACATGTATAATTATGACAGCTCTTGCAATCAACGTCATTCCATGTGAATTTATGTCCAACCCCCAAGGTGTGAACACAGTCCTCGTTCAGTCGGAAATCGTTTGGTTGATGTGGAGCCCAGTAAGTGAAGTTGCTTGACTGGTTACCGGCCCAAAAAAAGGTGCCCTCGGTGTCTCTGTCATTAAATCCAATCCATCCTTTGTCTCCATTCAGACGGTGCTGTATGTAGACATTTTCTTCTTGATTTTTTACGGTGATGAGGCTGGTTTTGTATAGTTGGCAGGTTTTTTGTGCCTCGGTCCAGTTTTTGCATGACTGACTTGTAGAGTAGCAAAAGCCAGAAAAGTAAGACCAGCCTGGTTTACAAACGTCTAAGCAAACAAACATCGGAGACAAAGCATAATTAATTAATTCACCAGTCTGCTAAAATGTCTAAAAGAATATCTTACACAATAATAGCATCGTTCCATTCGTATTTGTGCTTACCCGCTAAGACAACGTAAGACACGGTAACAGGGTCATGCTGATCAGCGAACAGCTCCTTGAGACAAATTCGAAATTCTGATGTCTGGATATGCTGTAGATAAAGAAATCAATTAGAGGGAAATCTCCATCCAGATGAGGATTTGCAGGTGGCAGGAAAACGTCTGAACATTTCACAGTTACGGTTGAGCTAACTAAATGGATCGAGAAACTGCGTATGCATTAGACACCTAGCCTTAGCAAACAGCTGACGGAAAACCAAAAAACAATAAAAAAAGTACCTCTATCCATGCAGTAACAGATATGTACTTTGGCTTTAGGTTTTTTCCTTCTGAATTATGATTCGCGGTGATTATTACCGTAGGTTCCTTTTCATAAGTCTTAACGAACTGCACGTCCTGTAGGGAAGAGCAACAAAAATGTCAAAGAAGCAGTCAAATTCTAATCAGATTAAAAAAAAACAAACAAACAAACAAAGCAACAAAGACAACTGTTAACAGGAAGTCTATCTGCCGTAAGTGTTGCGCTAAAATCTTTATTCAATCACATTACATCAATAAGCCAAGTGAGGCTTTTAATGCCGATTAAAAGTGAGAAATGAACACGATGAAAAAATAAGAGAAACTTGATAGAGTAATCCGAGTTATTAAAACTAAATCAAGGCATAAGTCGTAATATGCGCGCAATTTTCCTCGGCCACACATACACAGGCTTTGATATTTCCCTGTTCAACATGGTTCCTTGTGTGCAGCGTACCTTGCAGAACGCACCATTGTAGTTGGCAGAAACAGAGTTGTTGTTAGGAAAGTCGATTTTTTTACTTTCAGCGAATAGCGGGCGATGAATTTCTTCAAAAGCCATCCAGTTCTAGAAAGATAAATTCAAACAACGTGTTGGTACAAAGTTGCTTTACCATAAACAAAGAAAACTCGGAAACTTCGGTCAGAATGTACAACGCAAAAATGTTACTGAGACTGATTTCGTTTCCCTTTTTTCGTGAAAGGTATCCCAATATTCTTATTCGAAGGAGCCCGACTGAAATTAAAAAAAAAAAAAAAAAAAGATGTTTGCTTTGCGAATGGCGAGTGCCTATCTTGATTTTGGAGAATGATGTTCTGTTGGATCAATAGTTCACCAGCTAATCTTCCTGTGTCAATGGCTTACTTCGAAAAATTCTTAATAAATGAAACAACAAAACAAGCAAAAAAACATAAACAAAACAAACAAGAAAAGGAAGAAAAAGTAAATACACGATGAAACTGAAGCACTTTACGAAGCTTGTGACTTGTGAATACGCACCCTGCTCGAGTTGTTCACAGGTATTGAGTTGATACATACCACTAGGATGTCCTCATGAAGACCATCGTAATTTTGTAACTCTCTGAGACAAATGTAAAAGATAGAACTGGTAACATTTTCTATCCAAAGACTGGCGGCATCATGCTTGTAAGCTGAAGTTACGTGATCTGCCGTCGCCAAAATTGTGGGTGTAGCTGCGAATTTATCCTTTGTAATATAAAGAATTCATAGTTGTTAGTTGCCAGTTAGAAAAAATTAAATGAGTTACGGTCAGTCATATTCAACCACTTTGCTAGGAATGAGCCAAAAGTGCAAAATCACCATATAAATTTGACTGGGGTCACGGAAATGTCTTTATAATCGTAGTTGTAAAGATGTAGGGAAACAATAATATGCAGACCTTTCATCCAAAAAAGAGGGAGGAAAGCATATCGGAAATCATCACTATCAATTTATGATTTCAGTCAACGTAATGGAAACTCACCTTTGGCAGACTAATCTTTACGCACTTCGTTCCAGTCCACCATTCTGGAATTCGAGTGTTTCCTGTCACACCTCCGTTTGGAGCTCCTTGGTAAGCCATCCAGTCGACGGTCGCAAATTCTTTCGTGCCACGGTCATTTCTTCCTGCAGCAGTTGCACAAACCTTCAAGAAACAAAGAAATTGTGGTGAATATGGGGTCCCGTAGAAAAGGTGAAACAAAATAAAAACTGCTGTTAAAAGAAATCAACAAAGCAACCAAAGTAACAGATGTTGAATCATTTCTGTCTAGTAATTCAAGAATAACCAACCCTAAAATTCTGGTAATTGACATTTTCCACCCAAGAGACAGTGGCTTCGTGTACGAAATTCCTCCTGGTGGAGTTTCAGTGATTGGTAGTAATTTGCACGTGCATCTCCTTGTCTGGATAGAACGAAAGTGGCGGGAGGGTCACCAACTCGCAAGCTGTCTCAGTCCAGGAAACATCTCTCTTCAGCTCAATTCTTCCTCTCTGAACAGGAAAACCTAAAGCAACATTGAAATTAGTTCAACCTTCAGCCATGTGCTGTAATGGGTATTGTTCATTCTCTCTTAAAAGCGTGGTTTACACATACATTTCAAAACCTAAATAAACTCTGAGAAACTGCATACACTTTGATCCTATCAGTGCTGAGGCTATAACTCTGTGCTCAGTTGTCTTCATTTATCTCGGAAATCTCATATAACTGTGATCAGTAGCATTACGTCTTCCAATGGCAAGAGCAAATGTTAAAGCGCCTAAAGCAAACAAACTTTCTCCATAGTGTAGTAGCGTATCTCCGCGTTTAAGAGGTATGGTATTTACGATTCAACAGTGGGCTCCTTTGCGTGCCTATTAGCAACATGAAATGCTCTTGATCCCTTACACATAAAAAGCATGCCAACAATCACACGTCCACTTCTTACCCGTGCAACTTCCAGGATGATAGAGAGTGTGGTTACTCTTCAGTCTGCATACATCCAGCTCAAACATGCACTTGTTTTTGAAAGTAGTAGAGTTAGATGAACACACTTGTTCTTCATACGAAGGGCAGTTTTCTTCGCACACGCAACGGGCGTCAAATGCGTCGAATGCCTTGCAGACAGCAAAGTAATCGCACGTAACGTTGATGCACGGGTCAAGGTCTTTGGAATAGTATCAAATATAACCAGCGAGTGAGCAGTGCTTAAAGTGTTTTAAGATAAAGGTGGGGTCTACATGAGAGAGTGTCGCTTTCGAATAGCTGAATTTTTCTCGCTTTCCATAACATTGAGTGACTGAGATTATTGTAAGTCCCTTTATTTAACAAGTTGTGATAATTTTTTCTTAAATTGTCATCACAATACTGCAATCTTAAAGAAACACTTAATTCTTCTTGAAGTTAAAAAGAAAAAACTCACAACAAACAAACAAGCAATCAAGTTCGAAGACCTCTTTCTGTTTTAATTGACTAGATGTCAGCATATCAAGATTCACTTATTTTCTGCAAGGTTTTAAAAGAATCTGTAAATATGGTAAGGGGGCCACCTCATAACAAAGATTGCTTTGAATTATGCGTACAGATAAATACAAAAAAACTTGAGGTGAAAAAAAAGCAATAATCAAGGGTGTTTTCAGAGCTGTAGCGTTGCTAAGGTATTCTCACGTGTCTGAAAATAAAATGAACAAAACTTGCTGAGAAAAAAAATTCAAATTCAAAACTAGGGAAACCAACGTAAGCCACTTTACAACTCCTGTTGGGTGAGTGGCATGTTAGTTAAGGTAGCTTTAGGAAAGTACTTCATGCTAGCCCATGATTTCGAATTATTTGTAATTTCTGACATGCCTTGCTATCGGTAGAAAGACATGAGTAAAATAATTTAAACTATCTGTCTATTGCCCACCTCCAATAATTGCAAAATGTACGGTTATTGGGTCATGAGTCTTGCTAAGTCCCTGGCTGTCCTTAACACAAACCTTAAACGCCGACCGACTAACCTCCTGCAAAAACAAATCAGAACACAAGTGCTCTAGGAACAAAACAGTTCATTACTTTAAATTTAAAGTAATGTTAGCCCCACCCAAAACATAACTGAAATCTGTTTTATTAACTTGAGAGGTAATTCTCAAGGCCTCTTGAAGAAATTAAGACACGAAATATGATATACGCTTTAATCAATTCCTTATTCTTCATTGTATACCATTGCAGCCCCCAGTTGTTTTAAAATTATACGTGCTTTCTCTTTTGCAACAACAACATTCTAAAAATATTGAAAATAGGGAAACTAAAAACGAAAAAAACAACCCAAAAGAGAATAAAGAAACAAATAACGGATGAGAAGGTAATAGTAAAGTATTAGCTCATGTGAATATGTTACCTCTATCCAAACGTTTAAAGCGTTGTTACAGCGACCTTCTGAGTTGCCCCACAAAGCACTTGTGGTGTTTTCGTGACTTCCACATACCAAGACGGCAGGCGGCTCGTAAAATGGGTTTTCAAAATTAAAGTCCTGTTTTGGTACAAAAAATGCAAGACTTTAAACTTTCAGCGATAGACCTGTTCATGAAAAATAAGTATGTAAATAGCTCTCTTGACCTCAGTGTGTTTGAAATGTTCAAACTAAACTCTTCATATCGATTTGGCTACAATCAATAGCAGTGAACAAAAGAAGAACAACAACAATAGCAACAACAAAATCAAAACAGAAATAATCAAGTTAACAACTTTCTACCTGGCAAAAAGCGAAGTGATTTTTTCGCAACGGCGCCCCTTTTCCAGCAAAATGAATCTTTCCTTCTTCAGTGAAGTTCCAGTTGGAAGGTAACACTTCGTATGCAAACCAATGCTGGTGAAACCAAAAGAACCAATTTTCAGAAAAGAAAAAAATTACGGATATTAATGACAATCTACATAGTCATATATAGAGAGTTTTTCGCATTTATGGTTTTATTATAATTTCAATTTGTATTTGGAATTTATTCATTCCTAGTTCTAAGTAATTGTAACGCAATTCAGTCTACGGACTGCCATGTTCGATATTCTAATAAACTATCTATCGAAACAATCTATCTACTATCTATCTATCTATCTATCTCTATACTCCAAAAACATGACTAAGCTGGTGTGAAACAAACGAATAAAAGGCCCAAAACACAAGTGCAATGAGAACTGTAAAAGAAAGAAGGAAGTAATCAACGCAATTTGAGCCACACGATGGGCCTCAAGCATTACTTGGAATTTCGTCGCTTACGGAGATCATTTCAATCTGAGTGAAATACTTCCCATTTATCGCAAAACTTTAAAATCAGCTTACCACTTTGAGGTCCGCATGAATGCCATCAAAGGCCATGAACTCTCTCATGCAGACGTAAAACTCCTTTTTATTGACACCTTCCAGCCAAAGATTCATGGAGTCATACGGCCTGTCTGTGTGCTTATGCTGAACAGAAATAAACAATTGTGGCTTGTTCTTAAAGCCCTGTAATTGAATGAGAGGAATATAAATTAGAGATTCAGAAACAAAAAATTCAGCTTTAAAAATCTCGTTTTCCGTCGCTGATGCAAAACGGTGAATCTCTATAATTAAGGGATATCGGAAGTAAGTTTTGCTTTAGGAGCTCGTATTCATTTAAATAAAACTTTTTTTAACCTGAATGCGTCAAATAAAAACTGACTAAGTCGGCAGCCAAACCGCATAGCAATATTCTAAGCAGCTACGTTCAAGAACTAATTCAATTATACACTACACACGTTACGATGAAACTTACATTACTTTGGTTATCAACGATCGATACTCGTTTGCACTGTGTTCTTGTAGTCCATTCATCAAAGTCCACGATGCCAGACTTGATTCCTTGATGAGACCCTTGGAAAGCGAGCCAGTTAATGACAGACATACCTGCAGAACCACTTCCGGCCTCACGAACGCAAGCCTTAAATCCTGACGTAGAGATCGATTTTACCCATAGTGCTGCTGGGTCGTGGATCTTGATATGTTTGTGGCCATGGCTAAGAGTAACGAAGACTTTGATGTCACCTGAGCCCTGAAACTGTGTTTTGAAGGAGACGGACTCGCAGCCATGACTATTTTGGGAGATATCAGTAATGTTGACCTTTCCAGCTTGGAAGACATCTGTTTAAAGGAATATCAAAAATTATTTTCAATATCAATTCCGAACAGTAAGGAATAAAAAAATTCTAAAATCTAAGAGAAGTTAGCTATTATTGATGTCTTTAGGCGAATTTTACTTTAGTTTTAAGAGGAAACATGCTAGGAAAAGTGCTTCGTTCAAGCACAAATTCTGCATCTATAGTCTTTAGCAAATTGATCTTCCCACGCATAGACTCATTACGATTGAAAATGTGAATTTACAAGTGACTTTGAGGCCTCAAGATGACAGATTGCATGACTCTTAACGGTAAAATGAACAATCAAGGCATAAGAATAAAGGTATTAAAATTCCTCGCTTCGACTACTCTGTATCTGAGGAGTTAAAATCGACAAAATTTGCACAGGTGTGTTCTTCTCCAGAGCCACTTCACGCCCATTGGGCGTTGTTCCAGATTTGTAACGTTGCCGAGTCTTTTTGCATTCGTCTACCAGCTAACAAGCTCGAAAAATTGAAAAATAGCTGAGAGTTGGATAAAAGAAGGACATAGAAAAATGTTACTTTACTCTTTTATACACTCAACACCTTAACACGCGAAATTAAACAAAAGCATAATCAACAAACTTAGCAATGAGACTGAAGTTCATCTAAATGATTTAGAAATATCAAATCAAATCAGCTACAGAATTAACGAGAAACTTACCGCTTGAAAGACACAGCTGGCGAGAAATCAATAGGAAAGCAAAAAGCCCAAAAAACTCCTTTAAGGTCATTCTGTGGCAGCATGCATGAGTTGTAAACTCGCTGAAGGCTCCTTTGATCTCAAGCTTTCAAAACGGAATGCGAACAGAAACAGTCGGAACATGTTTAAATCATGCCGACAGTTACCTGATATATCTGCTAGAAACGAGGCTCAACGTAAATTGCTCAAAGCTGCTTTTTTGAGGAATTACCAAAAATTCATTAATGAGGTTGGATAAACAACGCGCAATGGTCACCTCCTCACCTTTTTGTGGACATGATTTTTTCTCTAACGGACATCAGAGATAGTTTTGGATTTTTTTCTAATATTTCAATGCTAGTACTTTTTTTGTTCCTTCCTCTACCTTTTTTTTTGCTTAGTTTTGTTTCTCTCTTGCATATGAACGCTGATACTTTCTAATTGCGTGAGGTGTACCGTGCGTGTTGGATTATCCTGTTATTAAAAAAAACTGAATTCTTGGAAAAGGGTTATAAGCTACGCAACTATGTGGTGTGATTGTTGTCTGCAATTCCTGGGAACTATGCTATTATAGAAACAGGATTACTGGGGAACATGTTAAGACTAAGGGCGCAAAACTTCAGAAGGAAAATCAAGGTAAAAAGGGTAACCATAATGTGCCGTATTGAGAACTGCTTGCTTCCTTCTGCATAGCATTGAAAGAACAATAAAAAGATGTCTTTATGGGTTTGTTTTGCTTCTAAAGGAGATTCAAGAAGGATTTTAGGTCATTTGTTAGCTTCTGTGTCTGTTTTTTTCCCTCTTTTTTTTTTTGGCTTAGTTGTTTCTTTTTTGCATCAGTGCACTGATTCTTTATAATTGTATAATTTGTGCTGCGCTTTTTGGATTATCCTGTTCTCAGATAACTCCAAAAAAGGATTATTTTCCACGCGTTTATAGAGTGCGATTGTTGTTTGTAACTTCTCGAAATCGTGCTATCAGAAACAGGATTATCACAAATCATGCTAAGACTGGTGACACAACGCTACTGAAGGGAGCTCGAGGTGAAATGGTAACCAAAATGGGCCGTATTAAAAACTGCTTGTTTTACTGCTGCAAAATGCTAAAAGACCAACAAAATCCTTCTCTTGCGACATGTTTTTCTTCTTTAACGAAGAGCGTTGAGTTTTAAAATGTTCTCAGGTAACATGCGTGTTGTTTTCTTTTCTTTTTTTCCTTAGCTTTTTTTTTTTTTTTCCACCTCGCATTTGGACGCTGATGCTTTGATGTGCTAATGCCTTGCGTGCGCCATGCTTTTTGGATTATCCTGTTATCAAAATAATTCCAAATTCTTAGAAAAAGGGCTTGTTAATTAAAGAGCGCAATTGTAGTCTTATCTTCTTTAAATCTTGCCATTTCCAAGAATTCGGCATTATTCTGAGAACAGGATAATCCAAGAAAAACGTTGCACGCTATGGAATTAAAAAGTACTGGCCTACTAATGCGAGAGAAATAGAAAGCCGAGAATAAGCAAAAAAGGAAAAAAAATAGAGGTATTATCTAACAAATAACTTAAAATCCTTCTTCAATCTCCTTTAGAGAAGAAAAACATGTCTGCAAAGGAATATTGTAGCGGGTCTTTCACCACATTGCCATGCATGAGTAACTCCGAATTCTTGGAATACGGTTATTTGCTGCGCGTTTATAAAGCGCGATCATAATTCATAATTTAATATTTCTATTGCGGAAATTAACATCTGTATAGGATCAAATGCGCATTAAAATTTAAGTTAACACGCTAGACCACAACACCGGGAGCTACGTTCCCTACTCTTTGCGATAAGTGAGTGGGTTCTTTAACGTCCTCTTGCTAATCAGTACAGAGAAGATGCAGGAGACGGGGCCCATAGTTTTTCGTCCTTATCCAAAAAGACTAGAATGTCTAACCATTTGCAGATATCATAGCAAAGGCAGCGCATTCTCCTCAGTTATTTTAATACCCTGAGTGTTGGTCCAGTCTGAGGCTCGAACCCTCGACTTCCCGCACGGCAGTTCGGCGCTTTACCACTTGAGCTAACCAGACGGCGGATTGTTGTTTGTAACTTCTCGAATTCGTGCCATCAGAAACAGAATTATTACAAAACATGCTAAGACTGGTGTCAAAACGCTGCTGAAGGGAGCTGGAGGTAAAAGGGTAACCAAAATGGGCCGTATCAAAAGCTTTTGCTTCTTGCTGCATATCAATGTGCTAAAAGACCAACAAAATCCCCATTCTAGGGATATGTTTTTCTTCCCTGACGAAGAGAGATATTGAGTTTGTAAATTATTATTAGTCACCTGTCTATTGTTTTCTTCTTCTTTTTTCATCTAAAATTAGGACGCTGATACTTTAATACTGACAATGCGTAGCGTGCGCCGTGCTTGTTGGGTTATCCTGTTGTCAAAGTAATTCCGAACTGTTGGAAAAGGGCTTGTTATTTGCCACACAGCTAAAGAGCGAGATTGTTGTCTACAACTCTTTGAAATCATGCCATCAGAGACAGGATAATTGTAAAACATCGTAAGACTGATGACATAACACTGCAGCAGAGAGGCTATGACGTTACTAAAATAGGCTTTATCAAACATTTTTTTCTTTTGCTGCATAGAAATGTGCTGAAATACCGCTACAGTATTCCTTTGTGGACATATTTTTCTTCTCTGAAAGAGATCGAAGAGGGATTTTAAGTTATTTGTTAGTTACTACCTCTGTTGTTTTCTCCTTATCTGTTTTTGCTTAGCATTGTATTTTTCTCTCATTAGTACATTGATACTGCCGGTTTAAAAGATGAGCTTTTGTTCAAGATTTTCACGGCATTGATACGTTTAATTGCATAGAGTGCACCGTGTCTGTTGAATTATCCTGTTCTCACAATAATCTCGAATCCTTGGAAAAGGCTTATTTGCTACGTGGCTATAGAACGCGACTGTTGTCTGTAACTTTTCGAAATTATGTCATTAGAAACAGGATTATTGTAGAACGTGCTAAGACTGGTGACGCAACACTGCTGATGGAGCTCGAGGGGAAAGGTAACCAAAATGGGCCGTATTGAGAACTGTTTACTTCTAACTGCATTGCAATGCGTTAAAAGGCCAACAAAAGCGTTACTTTATTTTACTTTATTTTAAGTTATTTGCTAGCTTCTGCGTCTGTGGTTTCTTGCATTTTTCAGTTTTTCCCTAAGGATCGATCAGATTGGGCAAACGATTCTTGCATGTCTTTTTTAGAGGAAACGCACAGGATAACACATGGCATGCGCCGCGCCTGTTGGATTTAGTTGTTATCAAAATAACTGCGAATTCTCGGAAAAGGGATAGTTGTCACGCAGTTGTCGAATATCATTAAAGAGGTTAAAAAGCGCGTTTTTTTTTTTTTTTGTCTGCGAATTGTTAAAACTGCCTTCGAAGGAATGAGTAAAAAGAACAACAAAAGGAAGGCAATTTTCTAGTGCATGTATATGGTCTGGCTTATATTTAAGACAGTCAATGCAAACCAATTCCTTTGGCCAAACCTTGATATTTCGAACCCAGGCCTTGTCTTGGCTGCAACACATCCTAGTAAATCATATATCGTAGACATGAAAGAAAGCTATCGGTTATCAAAGCGCTTATTTGTCACAGAGTAATCAAGATTAAAAAGCGCGACTGTTGCCTGTAAATTGTTGAAATAACTCCACAAGAAACTAGCGATTGTAGAACATGTTCGGACTGGTTTTCGAAACACTGACGAAGGGAAATTAATTAGGGAGTATCCAAAATGCGTCGAATGAAAATTGCCCGTGTGGGAATGAGTTAAGAGAATAACAAAAGGAAGGCATACCGCGTGCGTTGCATAAACGGTAATAGGAGTTCCATGTTTTATTATTTCGTTAGCAACAAAATGAAGGAACATAAATGGAGCTACAATGTGTGGTAAAAGTCTTGGCACACTCCACCACTATTAAAGAGGATGAAATCCTCTCTTGACTACTACTACTACCCGGGTAAATTTTCTCTAACATTCATTTATCCCCTCTTCCCTTAGTGTTAACACAATGGTCGCTTATTTTTCTTAAAACATTGTGTGGAGAAAAATTGGAGACTTTCGAGTAGCCTATTAGCGATGAATTCAAATATTTCTGTCGGCTATAAAAGTGAAAGTGAAAGTAAATGATTCGATACCTTAATAGCAGCATAGGCTGAATTGCTAAGGTCTACAGTGTTACCAAGGTTGAGATCGGACTTCAGCATTATGTTGAGTGGAGGGTTGTCGACCACATATTAGAGACCTTAAGCAAACCACGACGCAACGGCAATGAGAACATGAAAAAACAAGAAATCAAATCGGCAGAGTAATAGCTCAGCACGTGCACTATAAACCTTTGTACATTTCATGTCCTTCCCCTACCAAACAACAACGTGAAATCACCAAAATTTACGTTGTCCGAAAAAGGAAACCCGACGGTCAATTATTTAAGTATAAATTTGGAACTCAACGGTGCTCACATACGTGATGCTAAGGTTGAGGTGTGGCGCCGTAAGAGACAGTAAAGACAGCCAGTCATTCGCGAAATTCTTACTATCAATTTAAATTCATCTTTTAATTTATCGAAATTTTCTTCTTCGTTGTAGTCGTGACTGCCTAAGGTCCCTACTAAGGAGAGGCGTACCTCTACTATTGCCATTCATTGTCCTAGTTCCTTTGCCTTTGTGGAGGTCAGGGGTCTGTTATCCGGTTTTGGCTTTGTAAATGATTTTTTATCTATCACGATTCTCGAAAGATGGACTAAGTACATAAGGTCTTAAGTTTACCTTAAGATCTTAGCGTTCTTTGAACACTAATTTGAAATCGGACGAAATTTTAACTTTCCTTTTAATAGAGGAGAAATTTGTTTATTACTTCAGATGAATCAACAGTGAGACGGTGAGACTCGGTCGATAAAAGAAATTAGATAACCATTTAGGAATTAGAGTAACTAATCACTGGCCTGTATAAACACTGAGTAATAAAAAAATAATTGACGATAAAATGTGCATTCACCAGGACTGCAAGCCAAACATGATGAAACGTCGCTTAACCCTGCCTTAAGCTTCGTCTTATTGATCAC